CTTGAAGTGTGGTCACTGGTGTGCAAGGGTTCTGCTACAAGCTATGAAATAAGCAGCTTATTGGCAATTTACCAATTATCTTCTTAGTTCACAATCAAGCAATTAAATTATGAATGACTTCAGTTGACTTCATTGGAATATAATACATAAAGGAATGAACATAAATCAGTAATACAAGGAATGATGATATTAGAATCCATTACAAATTGATCATTTGACAGACTTAATTTGTCTGATTCAAATATTCTTAAAATTCTATATAAAAATGTATTGTCTTCTTTTACCTTAAGGGATATCTTACACCAATGGGTTACACATACAGAGAGAAAGATTTGCTATGTTTTGAGTTGCAGGCTCTTGCAAAGCTGTCTATTTAAAGTCCTTGCTTCATTGCATTATGCTCTAAAGCATAAGAATTTCTGATTTTGATAGAGATGGCAAATAAATAGACACAACTAAATTACCTCAGCTCTTCTGAGGCTCAGTGAAAATACAGCTTTTTCTGCACTTAGCTGTCGTGCTACTTCTACTTTTACTAGCTTGTTAAATAGTCCCTATTACTTCAAATCCTAGCCAGAGGTTTGCATTTAATTTCTGATACCATAAGCCAGGAATCAGAGTTCCAATGAAATAGAGGCACCTTAGCAAGTTGCCTAATTCAGGGAAGAACCAAAATGGTAGGAATTATGGCTCATGGCTGATGGCCACAGGAACTTTGGCAGTAGACTGAAGGCTGGAGGAACTATGCAAAGAAAGTCTGCAGACTATGGTGGTAGCTCTCTACCAGTGGCTGGAGAGGGTCCAAAAACTTGGAGAAGACAGAAAGTAAGAAAAGTTTCTCACTGTGGCTGTATATAAGAGTGGCACTGTTGGCATCAGCTCTGCAGAGCAAGAGCAAAACAAGAACAAAATATGCTCTGCTTGCTTCCAGTATAATAAAATTAAATATTATTCTCCTCATGAGATTCCAACACAGTTTAATCTAATTTTCAGAAAGCATCTTTGTTCCAAAAATTTCTTTATTTTGTACAAACATAGCAAAAAGGCTTGAAAGACAAGATTGGAGCTGCAAATGGCTCCCATGTGAAAGAGAAATTGAGAAATCAGGATGGGCATTGCATAAATATCTTTCCTTAAACAAGCTTTTTGAAATGTCACATAATTAAAACTCAGTTGAAGTTTGACCAAGGTCAACTACAGAACAAAATTCTTAAATGGTAGGTATCCCAAGCAAATTTTTTGTTGTTCAAATTTGCTCCTCACAAGAGAAATTTACTAAAATTTCTTTATTAGAAAAAAATTACACAGTCTTTTGATCTGTATTAAATTTTCTATTTTAAATTTGATTCTGCTGAATTCCGAAAGCAACTATATATGAATGCCAAAAGCAGACAAAAGGAGGGCATAATTTAATGTAGAAATAAAATTCCTGGTGTAAAAGTTCCATCTTCTGAACCAGTAAGTGGAACTTCGACACATGCATCAGTTAAAAGCATTCACGGCCCATCTTATGCAGATGTTAAATCTTACAAGTTTTAAAATGGCGTGAAGTTTGTTTTAGTATTGGAGGGAGGGGTTGCATGAATGAGAAGCAATATATAGTGTTTTTCAAATTTTGTAGGAGTTGGAAATCACATGAATACATTTTGAGCAGCATTAAAACATTTTCTTCTGAGAGATATGAGAAGTGACAAACCTGTGGAAAGTACTGCCTAATGGTTTTAAAACTGTTACCTGAAAGCTAATGGTGATTTAGCAGCTTCAGTGATGATTGATCCATGTCTTGCATACTAGAAATTGTTCCAAGAAAACTCATTAGAAATAATACAAATCCACAAACCTGTATAAACAAGAGCACAGTTGGGAACCATGTTCTTCTGTAGTAATTTTAATGTAATTTAAAAGGATATAACACAAAAATATGGGTGTTACACAGGAGGATATTACACAGAAGTTGGACATATCTGATAGAATTTAAAAAGCTTTAATTTTTTTCCTTTGTTTCTTTTCTATTGTGACAAAAATTCAAGAAGTGATCTGGAAAAAAGAGGTAGAGAGAGATTTGATGAGAAAGATCGGTTAAACAGTTTAATTTAAAATTATTTAAAGCTATTTTAAACTCTTTAAATCCTTTTTAAAATAAATTCTTTAAGCCAGCATAGCTATTTAAACTCTTCTGAGTTCTCAAACCCTCCCCTAAGATAATTTTTTTGTCAAAAGTTTGACAGTTTTCCAACTTGATTTCCAGGGAGCTAAAAAGAAACAAAAAACAACCACACAAACAACAAACAATGAAGAAAATCACCAAAAAAGCAAAATGAAAAATGTTTCTTCCTCCATTCACTCTTCCAGCACAGAATCCAGATATGCAATCTAATACGGAACTCAGATTTCTGTTTACTTTCTGTAGTTATGGATTAAAAGGTTTCCTTCATCTAATTGTGTTCAAATTTTTCCTTTATACAATGCTTTTTATTAGTTTAGTCTGTTTTTTCTTTTTTGCTTGCTCATTTTAAAAGGTAAATATTATTACTTTAGAGTAGACTACTGTCAAAGTCATCACATTTAAAGCAGGAAACTGAACTCCAACAGGACTCTCAAAGGAGAGAAAAGTCCTTGCTGGTATGTACATCCATTAAGCAGCTGTGCTTGCCAAGTACATTAGCTACTTTTGTGAGTTTAACAAATTTCATCTGAGCTTTCATTCTGCTGACCTAATTTAACAAGAAGGAAATTCAATAACAACCCCTAATATTGAAGCATTATTTCCCAAGAGGCATTTAACAACACTTCTACATCAAATAATAATGTGTGGATAATGGAATATATATACTGAGGGCAACAAGAAAGTGAAAAAAGGGGAAAAAAGAAAGGAAACACTCTCTCCCATACACACACACACATACACACAAAAAAGAGACTGAAAGAAGAAAATTCTATGTACCCTTTTCAGAAAAACCCAATAGTTTTGAAAATTTTAGGGAAATAGGTTTCAAAATTCTAGGGAAATTGAGAGAGAGAATTTCAACTTTGACTTTCTTATGGTCTTTGAGAAGACATATTTCTCATTATCATAGAATAAATCTTTGCCCTCTTCTCTCACTCATTATACCTTTGTTTTAAAAGAAAGTATGAGTTGTGATAAATAATTTCCAAGGTGGAGGACCACATCTCCAGTTTGTACACACTGATATTATTCAGCATTTGTAGCATATTCATCATTAGTAGCTTATATTAGATCAGATTGTTCTCTGTATTAAGCAAAGTTCACAAATGAGGTAAATGTCAAAATTTTAGGAGAAAGGGAAAAGGGGTAAATGAAATGATACATAACTTGGTGTTTGTTTAGACCAATGGAAATGGTGTCTGTGAGTTACTGAGAACAGGGCTGGGGCCAAAATCCTTAATAGCAGTGGCTTTGAGAAGTTGTTTGGACTTCCAAATGCTGGGTGAGAGGGGAAAATGTTCTCCTGAGTGAATATAACTTGAAGACAATAACTGGTTCCTGAAAAATATCTGTTCATTTATTAACATGCCTGCCCACAGACATACATTTCGTCGTGTACCCACTTTAAAAATCCTGAAATTTTATTATAAGCTATTTTAATCAACACAGGCTTACTGGGACAGTTACTTGAGTATCAGTATCAAATTGAAATACAGGAAGAATTTCTGAATTCTTCACATAGCTCTTCTTTGAAAAATAAAAATATTTACGATGATAGTGAAATGCAGTGTAAAGTTATTGAAAGAAGAGCAAATTACTTACCTATTAAAATCAGCAAAGAGGAGAAAAAAAAAAAAACGAAGCTTATAACTACTTGAGTTTTTTGGCACATGTGGAAGAATATTCCAGGAAATGCAACAACCACCATTGTTTTTAATGGGTATGCTAGGAAGAATAGCAAAACCACCCTGTTTAAAGTTTGCAGAAGCTACATGCTATTAAGATGACAAATCAAAGGGTTTTATTATGTACTGGAAGAAACAATTACCAAATGATCTCACTAACAAAAAATGTTATTCTTTAAATGCTTGTATAGAAGTAAAGTGAAGAGGACTTGGCTGAATTTCTCTTGCTGAAATAACATATCATGGTTCTGTTAGATGAAGGAAGAAATAAAATTAAGCAAAGTGAAAAAACAAAAGTGGAGACAAAAAAAGAGTGATTTGGAAGAGGCTTGCCCTCTCTCTGCAATATAATTTCCCACAATGAGATTAAATTCAGTATTTCAGGATACTTGGAAAACAGCTTGACATATTTTTTAAAATGTTTCCTATATTTTAAGGCTAAGCTCACATCACTCCATATTGCAAGACCATCTCAAGAACTTTTTCTGTTTAAAAGTTTGCTTCGTATCATGTTATAGTTCTTCTGATGCATATGATATTTCCTTTTACCATTTAAAATACCCTGGAGAAATGGTGTTTTACTAGTTGTAATTTCTAAAACTACTTTGTGTTAGAGTTTCATGTCTCTTGATACTAAGATTAATAAAACACTGAAATTCTTGTAAATGAAATTGGGTGGAAAACATTTGAAGCAAAGGCATCAGTATTTAATGTGTAAGTTTCAGCAATATTTATCCAACAGTCTGAATAAAGAACACTTAGAAGTTTCTAAATTGAACTTTGTTTTTAAATGACACTATTCCCTTTTTTAAGGAAGTATTCTTACAGCACCTACCTGATACATTCAGTGTTCCCCCTATATGGATAGCCTTTCTATTTCTGACAAGATTGCTTTCTATGTCATCATGTTTTGTATATGAAGGGTACAGTAGCAGTGATGTTGGACACTAAGGAGTGAATGCATTTCAACTTGCATTGTCTCTTCTCTGTTTACTTTCAGGATTTGGTTACTGTATACAGTTCAGAGATGAGCTGCTGGAAACTGCTTGGCTGCAGCAGAAACTAGATACATAAAAAAACAAGCTAAGAAAAACAAAACTTTACGCTCCACTGCCGACCGGCTTGAAGAGCATCAGCAGTGGAGCACTATGACAATACAGCAAGTCCTATTACTTCTGCTGCTCTGGATGTGGCTGCCACATCCCTGCCATACAGAAATGCTCTTCAGAAGGACTCCTGATCTCAGACCCAAAAGCTTTGGAGGACGTGCTTTAGGGAATGATGGGAAAGCAATTCACCGCCAGAAGCGAGGCTGGATGTGGAATCAGTTTTTTCTTTTAGAGGAATACACAGGATCTGATTATCAGTATGTAGGCAAGGTAGGTTTCTCATAAGGTTTTCTGTATAATTTTCAAGTGTTCTTTCTTTCCACAGTCCTACATTCTATGTTTTATTCTAATTTGTAAGAAGCAGATTTCCAATATACTGGTTCTCCTACTAGAATCACTAAGTGTTGCTAGTTAGAGCTACTGAGAAATACTTGAAGGAAACAAATGAAAATATTTTTGACAGATCTGTTTGTTTAAGGACATCATACCTTCCAGCAGCCCACTCAGTATGTCTTAATTATCAAAGCATAATAGTATATAAATCATTATAAAATAATTTTCCTGCTCTATCTGTGAATATTTCATGTTTTATACAAGATATTGGATTCTTTTTCTGTGCTCATCTTTGAAGAATACAACCTATTTTGAAGAAAAAAAATATTCTTGCTCTTTACCTCTCCCTGAAAATCAATTAACTGCAATTTATTTGCAAACCATGTGATAGAAATCACGTGGTTAGGAAGTGAACGTCAATAGAAGACAGCAGACTGGTACATGTGACTGTGTAGCTTACTAGAGGTATACATAAATAACACTGGAAGTGTCCTTTAAATCATTTTCTGTTGATGTTTAGGTTTTCCCAAGTAATTTACTGAAAAATATATAATGCATAATGCCACAATAACATTCAAACAGGTACCGGATGTTAATTCAAAGTGGTAATTTTCTTAAAAATGAAATCTAGTGTCAGCAGTAATGGGTACAACGTAGCACTAATGGTTGGTTCTAAACAAAGAAATTCAATTTTCTATAAAGCAGATTTTCAGTATTTACATGGTTTTGAACTTGCAAAATACCACAGTGAAATACTGACTGAAAATCATTGAGTCACAGAGCAGCTAAGATTGTAAGGCATGTTTGGAAATCAACTAGTCCAAACCCCATGCTCAAAGCAGGGCAAGCTTGATTTTCCTCATGTCTATGTCCTGTCAGATTTTAAATAGCTCCAAAGTTAGAGACTCCACAATCTCACCAGACAAACTATTCAACTGTTTGACCATCCACTCAGTAAAATATTTGTTCCTATATTTAAAGGGAATTTATTGTATATCACATTGTGCCTTTTATCATGTCACTGAGCACCACTGAAAAGAAACTGGGCCTGTCTCCCTCACTTCTTCCCAACAAGTTTTAATATACATTAATAAGGTCTGTGCTGAGCCTTCTCTTCTGCCGGCTGAACAATCTCAGCTGTCTCAGCATCTCCTCATATGAAAAATGCCCTAATTCCCTACTCAACTCTCTGGCTATTTCCTGGACTCCCATCCAGTTGTTCTGTATCTCTCTTCACAAGGGGAGCCCAGACCTTGATGCAAGAGGACAGATGTATCTCACTGAGGCAGAGGAGAGAGGAAAGATCATCTCTCTTGATCTCCAGGTGATCTCTTGCAATTGGAGCCCAGGGTGCTGATGACCTTTGCTGCAAGGGCGCATTTCTGGCTCCTGGTCAGCTTGCTGCTCAAAAGGACCCCAAGGTCACTCTGCAAAACTGCTATCCAGCCAGCTGGGCTCCAGCATGTATTGGTGTATGGGAACATTATATTATAAAACATTTCTTGGAAGAATTAAGGACACTGGAGGATTTGTGACAGGAAATGCTTATTAAAACTTTTGAAATTTAAACACTAAGGAAAAATTTAAGAGTGCAGGCATATGGATGAGTAAGCCATTTTTTATTTGTTGTCTTGAGTCTGTAATATTAGCATATAAATAATGCAGCTATTTCCAAAGCATGTTGAGAGTCTTGTAAATAGTCCCTATATTTATTTAATCCAGTTCTCAAGTGTAAAGTCATGACTCCCAAGTGTTCTGAAGCAAGTAGGTCAGGTCCTCAGTCTGGGTCAGGCTGATAGCTTATGAAAATTGACCGTGCCCACAAAATAAGAAGGGTCACTGTATCAAAACGTTTCATTATTGAATCGAAAACATATTGCTTACAGCAGTTCTAGGAAATAGATAGCTTTCCAGGGCACCCAGAACTTCATATTTAAGGACCTTCAGAAGCATGCTGATTACTTTTTTCCTATTGTATTATTTTTGAATATTTATGATTTCAAATCATGAAGAGGGAGTGGTGTTACTTAAAATTTTTGTTCTAATCATAAATAATTGAAGAAAACTCTTTAGAGAGGAAAGGGTTAACATTTTTTAGACTAACTCACCTGCATTAGAAAAGCTGTTGATAAACACTGAACTGCTTTGGCTGAGAGAAAATAAGTGTTTGCAAAAGTGAAGTGATAAGTAAAGATAAGTAAGATGATGGATTAAGAGTACAGCACTGAGAAGAAACTTGATGAGCTGTTAAGACAGCCCTTTCATCTAGTTTGTTCTGCTTAGAATAAAAGAGTTGTTAATTTGCAAAAGCCAGTTTAAAATTAAAGTGTATAAAACTGTCCAGTAGTAATTTTGTGACAAGTTTGAGAAAAGGATAGAAAACACATATAAAATGAAGAGTATCATAGCATGATATTTGTTCAGGGAGAGTTTTAAACAAAGGAAGGTAATGGAAAGAGATATAATTATATGTGGAATAAAAAAATGATTGTTATATTAATAATGTTTTATTCTGATAGTCCAAAATCTCAAATGATTAGGTAAATAAAGAATTACTGATTAAATTTTTTTGGAATAAATTTTATAGTATCTATCTCCTTTCTCCTGTTTTTGCACTTACCTTTCCAATGGCCATCTCAGTTCTATACTCAAAATATTTCTGGATATTTCCTTTTATCTGATTTTATCCAGAGACAAAATTATTTTGATAAGTGGGTGGCATGAAATGCCACTTTTCCTGTTAATTTCTCTGCATCATGTTTGGAGATGGTGTTTGGAAATTTTGGGAGATAATAAGAGAACTGAATGGTTCATGGCCAAGGACAGTGAGAGAATTTTTGTGCAATGCCAGTGGACAAATCAGCAGAACTTCCAAAGCTGATTCATCTGGGTTTATGGTTTACATCTTTCACTTTCTGATCTCACAACTGATATATTTTTTCTTGTTTCATAACCTCCATCTAAATATCTATCAGGGAAATTTAATAACTGGTGAATATGAAACAAGTGTCTACAATTCACAATACAATTTACGCAGTCATTTATTCACTGTTTGGGTCATCTTGAGAATGTTCAACTACAATAATATCGTAGAAATAGGGTTCCTGAATTAATGAGATACATAATCCCATAACAACTGAAGCATACCTTCTTTAATCTATGTGAAATGGTGGCAGAGTGCATATTGGCTGGTTATTGCCTGGGCTTTCCCAGGTTTCTTTAGATCAGTATTTATTACTATCACAAGAAAGGGGATGGTCATCCTTTTCTTCATGTAATACAGAGCATCCTTAGAACAGAAATCAAAATTATGTAAGTGATTTTTGCATAAGCAGAACTCAGATTGTTATTCCAGCTGGATTTCTACTAAAGGCTGAAGTCACAAAGAGGAACCATGTGGAAAACCAAACCTCTCCCTCTCTCTCTCCCTCTCTCTCTCTCTCTCTCTCTCTCTCTCTCTCTCTCTATATATATATATATATATATATATTTTATACAATTTGTCTTTGAGGTATATTTACAAAAGATAGAAGAAAATTGAAGAAATTTAGAAGAAATTTCTTACTAGAAGAAAATCTGAGCAAAAGTGGTCCTCTCAGTTTCAGCTAAACAATACAGGAATATTCTAAAAGAAGTGTAAGCCTCATTTCAGAAAACCACTTCATTAATATTGAAAGCTGATTCATAATTTTTATTTCTTTTCTTAGTATACAGTTTAGAAGGCCCATTTACTGTTTTTTCAAATTAAGTGCTGAAATTATAAAATATTATGCATTTTCAAACCTGTTCTGAAAAACTTCAATTTACTTTGAGTATATCCAGAAAAAAAATGCTTTTAAAACAAAACTTTATTTTCTAGTAGTTGTCACTTAAAGGAAGCACAACTATGTACCAACAATGTCATAGCACAGGGTCACTCAAAAATAAATTTACAAATAAGTTCTTTATCCATATTAAAGCTCATTTCCCCTCTTATTATCTCAACAGATCTTGTCAATTGATTATTTTTGCAGATATTTTCCCAACTTAGCTTTCTGAGATAGATACTGACTTTTTATAGCAATTTCCATTACAGTAGTTTTATTGCATAAATGATCAACTGACACAAATATTTCAGCACTTTGAGAGACTGAAGTTCTTAGTAACACTGCAGTGCCTTTTAGTATCTCAAGGGATAATTTATCATATATTTGCACATAAATGTATATAACATTTGTGTCTGTCGTAGTAGAACTGTTACCAGAAAGGATTGTACTGGCAGTATTCACTTTCCCATAATTCTCTTTGATGGTGTAAAGAGCAGAACATGTCAACCTCACTTAGTTCCTTCCACTTCAAGAATCCCAACCCAGACGTGATTCTGAGGGAAAGTCTTAACAAGCTGTGTGTGCATGACACGTTTTCAAGAACAGCAGTTACAGTTTCAGTAACTGTCTATTGGCGCTGTGGATGATGTACCACATAACACTCAGAAAGACATAAGGCAGTGACGCCTCAGATGTTGTTTGTATGCTACCAAAAGTACTGGTTTGAAGAGGGTAGCACAAAATATCATGTTTTGTTTTCAAAGGATTCATCACCAGGTGTGACACATAAAATAAAAGGTCCCAATGAAGTGATGTTATTGTAGTGGTAAGGTGAAGACTTACCAAACCCTTTTAAAAATCTCTGCATTTTGGTTTCTGAAGATGTTTCTACCATACTTCTTTATATTTTGAAGACCTTTGCTGCTATGAGAGACTGAAGAGTAGGGTTTTGAATTGCAAGTGCTAATGTGCAGGCTTAATATTTGGTGTGAAGATCTGACTGAGAGATATAAAATGCCTTTTCTTTCCAGTGAAGGTAATCAGCTCTGTGGCACTGAAGTTCTGTAGAGGTTGAATTTTCAGCTAGAGCAGATTCTCATGACAGAGATCAATAAAAAAGAATGGAAAGGG